CAAAGTTTGCAAGGGAGACAGAGAATGAACAAAACAATCTATAACATAGCTTAGATGACAAAGGTGGTGTTTTCAATCTGTAGCTTGTAAACACAACTTCAACCTGTATTTCACATGTTTACACCTCATTGTTTTAGAAGCATCGAGCAAAAACATTTGCTCTTCATCTCATCTCTGTAGAAACTTCTTTGTCAATAAAGATTGGCTTCCACGGCTGAAGATATTATCATTACTCAAAATGATCTGGAAGCAATGGTAAAATCTTGACAAACTAAATTGTGTTCACCATACTTTTTTTTCTTTCGCTAGCAGAGAGAACAAATAGATCAATAGGCTTCAGCATGAGAATTTTGCAGTAAAATTTTCATTTGTAACAAACATCAACAAAAAAGCCTTAAGCATGCCTTGTCACTTTTAGTTTAAGAGAAAATGCACTAACAAACTCTTACCCTAGGGTCATCTTTGACAACAGACAATATGATGCCAGTTCTCATTAAAGACTATTCATATCACTGGCCCAAAAATTTCTTTTAAAATTATCGTCTTTTACATCCATATAACAGGATGTCAGCTTCAAAAGTACTGATGAGAGACAGGACCTGTCACTATAGTCAATTCTCTGTACTATTTCAACACCAAGACATCTGACCCCCAAGGGTAAGTTTTTGGTTAAGAATATTTATTTGGTAGTGATCTAAACAAACAAGGAAATGTGTTCCTCTATTTTTTTTCCAAATAACTCAGCAAGCAAAGTATTACCTATAACTATGGACTCCTGGTATGGCACTGTAGGATCAGCACTGGACTGTGAACCACATAATTTGTAATTCAAACCCAACAGCTGCTCTTTGGGAACTCTATATAGGGTCGCTGTGAGGAGGAATCAACTCAAAGACACTTAACAAAAACAACATGACAAATATTACATACTGAAATATGCTGAAAAGTCATTATAAAATAAGCTCCAAATTTGGCAAAATATTTCCTACCACAGCCTTTGTTATGGGTTGCACCTCGCTCTAAAGAAAACAAAACCCCTCTCCACTGGACCAATAAACAACATGCACATAGATGGAGAAAGATGGAAATTGTCAAAGACTTCATTTTGCTCAGATCAAACATTAACACTCAAGGAAGCAGCAGTCAAGAAATCAAATGACATAATGCATTAAGCAAATCTGCACATGACCTCTTTAAAGTATTCAAGGGCAAAGACTTCAGTTTCAGGAACAAGGTGCACCTGACTGAAACCATGGCATTTTCAATAACCTCATAAGCATGTGAAAGTTGGGCAGTGAATAAGGAAGAATTGATGCATCTGAGGTATAGTGTTAGTTATTGTCAAGTGCTGTTGAGTTGGTTTCAACCCATAGTGACCCTGTATAGGGTTTCCGAGGAGCAGCTGGTGAACTTGAACCGCTGACCTTGAAGTTCAAATGGCTTTGCAGTCTGGCGCATTAACCCACAGCACCTTACCAGGAAAATATTAAAGGTACCATGGACTGTCAAAAGAAGAAACCAGAATGTGTTGGAAGAAGTACGGCCAGAATGCTCCTTGGAAGCCAGGATTGCCAGACTTCATCTGTTGTACTTTGGACATATTATCGGGAGGGATCACTCACTGGAGAAAGATAGTAAGTTTGGTAAAGTAGAGAGTCGGAGAAAAAAAGAGGAAAAAGACCACTGTGATGAGCTGGCATAGTGGCAGCAGCAATGGGCTCAAACATAGCAATAGCTGTGAGGTTGGCCCAGGGCCAGGTAGTGTTTCAATGTGTTGTGCACAGTGTCACTATGAGTCTGTAATGACTCAATAGCACCAAAAATACAACAATAGCAGATACTGGGTAACACAGCATCATATTTCAATCTAATATTTACTATATAAAATTTAAAACAAAACATATGCTAGTTGTCAGTATTGTTTTTAAAAAGAGAAAAGCAAAACTTCCTATAAATTTTTAAAGATTTTCCCTTTATAGGTTTTGCTGAAATAATTATTTATTGTAAGAGTAGCACTATCAGAACACCAACAGTGCAGTGGTCTTCAGGTAACAAAACCAGGATTAGATAAAATAACTAAAATCTAGTGGTAGTATAAAATAAAAAAGGAGATTTCATATTTACAAAAACAAAACAAAAAACAAACAAACATAATTCTTTTAGAATTTGTTGTTATGTGCCGTGGAGTCAGTTCCGACTCATAGCGTCCCTGTACAGGGTTTCCAAGGCTGTACATCTTTACGGGAGCAGAAAGCTCATCTTTCTCCCACGGAACAAATGGTAGTTTCAAACTGCTGACCCTGAGGTTCGCGGCCCGATTCGTAAATAAGTAAGTACAAAATGGCTATATGGAAGAAGAAACTATACTCAGAAAGGAAGCACTTGGATAAAAGCTTTGACAATATTCTCTACAACTTGCCAAATAGATGCATCACAAGACCACTTTCTCAAACTACATATATCTATAAGGTATTCAAATAAATTTTGTTGCACTATTAAAAGGCCCTGTCTTGTATGTTTATTGCAGATTGGGAGTGTATATACAGCAAAACATTGTAAGCAAGATAACAAGAGTATATTATACCTGTCTGCTCCTCAAATTCATAGCATATGAATCACTCTATGGATAACCCAAGGATACCTTTAGGCTTTGAAAAGTAAGGTCAGGTGAGAAGGGTGCTAGAATGAGGATCAGCAAGAATGTATGTATATGTGATACCTGTCTCTGCCTGAACACTCAAGTCAAACACTATCATATCGTCTTGTTATTCAATAAATAAGACTATGATTTCATGATTTGTATAGATGTCATGAGTTGACATGAGAGTAGTTTACATACAGTCAAAGTAAATCTACAAAAATACTTTCTTCCCCTAATGATCTTAGTGTCTACTAAGACAAAAGCATCAAGAAGCTAATAGCATTGTTTAATAATGTTAATATGTGAGAAAAGTGCAGTGGAAATGATTGAATCACATACTAAGAGTCAAGAAGCATGGGGTTAAATTGTAGCTCAGACAATTATTAGATTTTCGTGGCTCTGGGCGAATCATCAAATAGTCTGAATTTCAATTGCCTTCTCTGTTAAAGTATTAAAGGTTAAAGTATTAAAATCAAGTAAATCTGAAGATGAAATAATGTATGTAAAAGACATTCGATGTCAAGCACTGTAAAATATATTAACTTGAATATGGATGTAGCTAATATTCTCTCCCAAGCCTCTGGGTCTCAGCACATGATTTGTTGTCTATATGTTAGCACTTCTTTCTTGTACCTGCCTTACTCCTGGACTCCTGTGCCTTACCTGGGCAACTTTCCCTCCACCTTCAGATCTTATCTCAATGAAGACTAATTAATTGAGGACTTCCTGACATCTCTGACAAATCTAATCATTTTAGATGTTTCTACTGGAGTCCTGGTGTGGTGCTGTAGGGTTAATACACGGGACTGCAATGTCAGTTTGAACTGCAAAATGGTCAGTTCAAGTTCACCAGCTGCTTCTTAGAAACAGGGTCGCTATGGGTCAGAAATGACTTGATGAAACTTAGCAACAACATTTGGGTGTCCCGGACTTCCTCTTACACAATGTTTATCAAATTTACAATTCTTTTCATTTGTGGAATACTGATTGATATCTATTACATAGTAGCTTTTCCTATACAGATTTTCACATGGGAGATATTTTTTAATTTTTCAAGACAGTGTGGTTTTATTATCATCTTATCAAACAGGACTTCCTACACTACCTTAACAAACACATCAATTCCTGTCATTTTGTTTATTTTTCTTCACAGCACAGAAGTTTGAGCTTAATATTGTCATTTATATATTTGTCTTATAGTGTGTCCCTAATATACCTGCAGTCCAGTGCATTGATTCACAGTGCCTCACCAGGATGTCATTTTGCCCATAGAATTTTTCAGTATTGTAAGTCTTTTATGTTGTTTATAAAAGGAGCTCTGTTAGTGTAGCGGTTACAAATTGGGCTGCTAATCTCACGGTCAGCAGTTAGAAACTACCAGCTGTTACATGGGAGAAATATATGAGGCTTTCTGCTCCCATACAGATTTATAGCCTCGGAAACCCTGTTCAGAGTCGCTAAGAGTCAGAACCAACTCCATGCCACGCAGCCACCACCAATGTTCCTGAAAGTTTAGTACTATTTTGTATTTTATTTACAATTGTATCTGTACCACATTAAATAGTATTTAGACTATAACAGGGACTCAGTAAATGTTGAATGAATGCATAAACAATGAGAACTAGTATTCATATTTCTAGTATTCCCTATGTTGTTAAGTGCCACCACATTGGTTCTGACCCAAACCGACACTACATAGGGTTTCCAAGGAGCAGCCGGTGAGCTTGAAATTCCAACCTTGCAATTCAAACCAACTTTGCAGTCCAGCGCATTAACCCATAGTACAATGTCTCAAGTCCTCCCTATACCTGTACTTACCTTAGGGTCCACGATTCTGAATAAGATTTCTTAACAGTTCTCATGTTCTAAGACTAGGGTGGGAGTAGGGGACAGAATAAATGAACATCCAATACTAGTTTTTGATACTAGTAAAATGTATAGGTCAACATGGACAGAGGGAGGGCCTTTGACCTGGACTTCACAGCCTCAAAGATTTGAAGAGAGAGAGAGAAAAAAAAAAAAAAGTATCTGCAGAATCATTTTAAACAGGAAGAAACAACTTAAAGATACATCAAGAACTAGATTATGGTGATACTGAACACAGTATTATTAAAAGAATATTTTAAATTAGAACTTTAAAAAAATTAATTCCCTCCAACAGAAACACTTGTTGAAACTTGACAAACTTCACAGTACATTCTTAATTTTATCTTAAGATAAGAACTGTATAATTATACGGTCTTTATAATTACCTGAAATGAAGAATACAGTAGCTTTAAAATCAGTCCATATAACTATAAAACTGATTTGTCTTAAAACACGTGTATGATTTCATGAAGTAAAAACAATTTCACCTTACCTCTGACAATCAGTTGAGCAAAATTGGACACCCCAGATCCTCGCTCGGACTGAGTTACACAGCGGTACAAATCCTGGTCAGTTTTTGTCACTTCTTGCAATCTAAAGGAAGCAGCAAATCTCCGATGATTGATGTTCTTAGTCTGGGCCACAGGTATATCTTCTCCATTCCGCCTCTGCAAACAGAAACTGGTCTTTAAAAAAACAGGTTGTTAACTTTTCCATAAATCCAAAGCATGGTAGCAATCCATATCTGAAACAAATTATTCATGCAACAAAACTGTCATTCATCCAGGAAAGTATATAGGAAAATCTGGAGTCCTTTAAAGGATGTACTACTGACATTAGGATGATCTCAGTTTTTCATAAAATTGCTACTAAGCAGAGTATATCTGCAGTAAACAGATAGTTAGTGGTCCCATTGCAAATGATTCTCTGCCCCCAATTTGTCCATTCTCCCAAAGTAAATATGTTAGTTTCTCTTAACCCTGATGCTAAATATGCATAATAGATTTCCTACTGAAAAAAGACTTGAGACTATGCCCTCTGCATCTCAGTATTCCAAATGCTGAGCACAGCCAATCACAGAATGGTGACACAACACTAATGAATAATTTGGAGTCCAACAAAAACTTGTACTCTGCAAACTTCTATGTGTTTTGCAATAGAGAAAGTCTCCTTTTACCATTCCAGAGGAGTAAGCAAAATAAACAAACTGTTCAAAGAACCTCTGTCCACTATCCATATGAAACATTAAGAAATAAATTTATGATGTAAGTGTATCTCACATAAGATTAATAAACAAACTATAAAGGAAGTAAATGAATAATTTAATGCTAATACAATTTATTGCTTCTATATGTTAAAGGTACAATAAATAAGGTGAGAACAGAAACCACAAATGTGAAAACATATTAGTTTTTCATCACAGACTTGGTGCCTCCTGATAACATATCCAATGTTCTGAGACCAAGCCTTGCCTTTCTCCTTTCTATGAAACATTTAAGCTGTACTTCTTACAAGAGAGATGAGTTTACTCTAATAGTAGTCCATGGAATGTTATTCACCAACACCATAATTCAAAGGCATAAATTATTCTTTGGTTTTTTTACTCATTGTCCAGATTTTGCAGGTAACTGTGAGGTAATTGACAATATTATGACTTGGGTCATGCAAAAATATGGCATCAACCATCATTTCAAATAACTCTTTGCTTCTCAATTGGGTTCAATTATTCATTGCAATAGCCACACAAAACTCAGACACCACACTCTCAGTTATGGGATTTACTAGGAAAGTTAAACAGGTTACAATTCAAGGTCAGAAATCCTCAGGGAATAGCTGTTTCAGTCAGGACAGCATCTTCTTAGCCATGCCCACAGACAGGTCTCTTCTCTGCCCCGGCACAATGTGACAAAGCTCTTTTAGGGCTGCTGATAAATGCTCACTGCACATACTACTCCACCATAAGCCCCAGTCTGAAACTACTCAATTCTATCTCTATGGGTCAGTAAACCTAGCTTCCCCAATCTGTAAGCTGGAGGCACCCCACTCTGCCAGCAAGTGTCCTGCCTAAAGTCACTCAGCTTTCCTTGCTCCATGAGCCAAGAAATACACCAGGCTGTCTCATCCTCTGACTTTGGTCCTGAAGCTGATCCTCTGCTCCTCGCCAATGTCACAGCTTTCTGTCCCTTAGCCTAGGAGGTTCAATGTACAGGTATCTTGGACTAGAAATGGCATGCTTTGTTTCTGATTCTTCTTCAATGTCAGTGCGATAGCCTGTCCTGCTTCTGAGATGGTTCTTTTTATACCCATGCTAGAACTTCAAGTTTTCACCATTACAATCACCTATGCAAACATCCACAGCTCAATCATATTAGTATCATTGTCCACCCTTCTTACACAGAAACAACAAGGCAGAAACATTAGTGGGACTTACTGAGACATTAGATAATTCACTACAGCGCACATCAGTAGCACCTTAGTTTTCTAAGTGATATCTGTGCTCTTTACAATTATAAAGAGATTTTTTTTTTGCTAAAGTTGTTGCCCAATGCAGTATAGTCTTTGGTTTCTTGAAAGTTGCTTTCATGGGTAATGGTTGTGGATCCAAGTATAATGAAATCCTTGACAACTTTAATCTTTTCACAATTCATAATGATGTTGCTTATTGATCCCGTTGTGAAGATTTTTATTTTATGTTGAGGCATAATCCATAAGGAAGGCTTCAGTCTTTGATCTGATGTGTTCCATCACCACTGCATTTACAGCAAGGAGGGTTGTTAATGAGTCTTCCTCTAATAATAATGCCATATTCTTCTTGACTTATTTGTTCAGCAAACATATAGAATAAGTATGTCTCTAAGAATTGGAATGGGTTCTATGGAGCTGGGATTTTAATTACCATATCAAATTTTTATACAGTCTTTGAAACTAGAAATCAGAACATGACACATCATTCCTTATTTCCTCAGACACCCACATTCTCTTCCTTAAAGTGGCCTCTTAAACTCTGTCACCTTTAGCCTATTGTTTGTGTTTCTTAATCTTTACACAAGACCACACAATTCCTGATGCCTACTCTGCCTTCCAGAAGCTCACACATGTCCACATCTACTAATATCATGTCTTTCAAAATTTCTTTTCTAGTGATGAGATTTTGGATACACTTACTATTTCCCTTTCAACAGTCAGTCGATCTTTTTCATTGTAATTGATCTTTCTCTCACTTTCCTCCAAACATTTCAAAAAGGAGGGCATATGTGCTTTGGCATTCATTCGGGGGAACAGACAGCATTATCCTGATACTAACTTATACACTGAGAATTTCACTATCTCATTAACTCCTCATAGTTTGTGTTATGGGCTGAAATGTGCTCCCTATCTCCCCACCAAATGTATGCAGATATTCTAACTCTTGTATTTATGTATGTTATCCTGTTTGGAAATGAAGGGTTTTGTTTTGTCATGGTCAGGAAATTACAGAGAGCAGGGTAAATCTTATAATCCCTCCAAGTGGTGTCTTGTAAAAAGGGAAAACAGATATATAGAAAGGCAATCCACAGCAACAAGTATCATTTGACAATGGAGGCAGATGGATCATACATAAAAAAGAATGTCATATGATACTAGTAGTCATATGATACTAGGAGAGCGATCCACAGAATAAAAAGGCATGGCCAAAGTCCTGATTTGGATTTCCAGCCTCAAAAACTGTTAAAAAAAAATACTGTTGTACCTTAAATCATCAACTTTGTGGAATTTTGTTGTACAAGCCTAGAAACTGAGTACTGGTATGGCACTGCAGGATAAGCCCTCAACCGGACTTGACTGTAACACAAGGTCAGCAGTTCAAACCTACCGGCCACTCTTGGAAACCCTATACAGGGTGGCTATGAGTAGGAATTGACCAGATGACACACAACAACAGCAACAACAACAAATTCCTGGAAATTAAGATGTTACCTATTTTCTATAAATATACAACTTTTCTTCTATCACATCTAATATGCATTATCTTCATTTATTATGAAAACCAATAAAAATCACTGAACTTTTAAGAGACAAGGTTTCTGTTTCCCAGTGTATTAAAAAGTATTATGATAAAATAATAAATATTAATTGAATTAATCATACAAGGGAAACGATACAAACATAGATGCTAAAGTTTCAAGAGATCATGTATCCTAAGTTATTTATTTGAGTATGACTATACATATGGAGGAGTTCTGGTGTGGTGCCATAGGCTAATGCGTCAGGCTACAAAGCTGTTTGAACTGCAAGGTCCGTGGTTCAAGATCACCCACTGCTCCTCGGAAATCCAGGGTTGCTAAGGGTCAGAATCGACTCGACGGCACTTAATAACAACTACAACATACATATGAACCTCACTAGATAGACTACAAAGAAATCAAATTGACTACATCTGTGGGAAGCCATGGTGGAAAATTTGCATATCATCAGCCAAACCATGTCATGGACACACTGTGGAACCGAACATCAATTACTCAAATGCCAGTTCAGGCTACAGCTGAAGAAAATTAAAACAAATTCACAACAGCCAAAATTTAATCTTGAACATACCCAACTGAATTTAGAGATCACCTCAAGAACATATTTGGTGCATTAGGCACTAATGAGCAAAGACCAGAAGAGCTGTCAGGTGACATCAAGAACATAATACAAGAAGAAAGCGAAAGGTCATTAAGAAGACAAGAAAGAAGGAAAAGACCAAAATAGATGTCAGAAGAGACTCTGAAACTTGCTCAACAGAGATACTAATGCAAAAGGAAGAAATGAGGAAGTATGAGAAAACAGAAAATTTCAAAGGGCAACTCGAAAAGACAAAATATTATAGTGAAATACGCTGACACCTGAAGTTAGAAAACCAAAAAAGATTAACATGCTGAATATTTCTTAAGATGAAAGAACTGAAGAAAAAACTCAACAATTGACTTGTAATATTAAAGGATTCTTTGGACAAGATTTTGAATATGCAAAAAGCATCAAAGGAAGATGTAATGAATACACAAAAACAAATGGTTGATATTCAAACATTTCAAGAGAAACCATATGATCAAAAGCCAATGGTTCTGAGTAAACTGAAGGCATTGGTAAAGATTAAGGTTCTTTACCTTAATTGATGGAATTGATGGAATACAAACAGAAATATTTCAACATACTGATGCAGCCCTGGGGGGTACTCATTTATCTATGCAAAGAAATTTGGAAGACAGCTACATTGCCAACAGATTGGAAGAAATCCAGTATTTGTGCCTATTCGAAAGAAAGATGACCCAACAGTAAATTTAAAAATCATCACAATGGCATTGATATTACATGCAAGTAAACTTTTGTAAAGATAATCCAAAAATGGATACAACAGTACATTGACAAGGAACTTTCAGAGCTTCAAGTAGGATTGAGCCGAGGTCATGTCATGAGGGTTATCATTTCTGATATCAAATGGATTTTGGTTGAAACCAGAAATTAATAGAAACATGTCTATCTGCACTTTATTGACTATACAAAGGTTTTCAATTCCTGGTGCTTGTTCTTAGCCAATTCCTTCAATGCACCTTGGACTTCCTCCTTTAGTATCATCGGCTCTTGATCATATGTTACCTCTTGAAATGGTTGAACATGAACCATTTCCTTTTGGTACAGTGACTCTGTG